AAGAACTTCTAAGTCCTCTTAGTGATAGAAGTTGAGTATCATAGACAATATTTATCGGTCATTATGATTAATCTACACTACCATTAGTTAAATTCGTGTAGCGGATAGTTATCGTCTATATCTACTTATGTACAGTTAACCTCTTAGTCTTATATGTCAGTCCCCTACTTCCCCCCACCAAGCCTCGCCATAAAATCTAGTAAATAAAGGCTAATTAAAGAAGTAAAATATGTGTTAAATTTAAATCAATTTTATTGCTATTAGTTGTTCATAATTCTTTCTAGTAAGTGTGTAAACCGAGTGGGCTTCGGTGGGAAAACGCAGGACTGGCGCATAAGGATGGTATTATTCTTGTCTATTTATTTCTCTGAAAACCATTACTATAGGTTAAAAATATGAGTTCATTGCCGTAGTCTCATTATATAGGTACTCCGATACACTAGTACAAAATACATATACCATCTATATCGCTTGTTATGTACAATCCGTGAAAGAACCCGCCCATCTAGAGCTACGGAAATGGGGGACTTCTCGGGCTTAAATGTGTTTCGTCAAGGCCTCGGGACATTATAAGCTATCAGGAAAAGCCTCTATCTATAGACTCGTGTTCTTGGAACGAGAACCTAAAAACCAGCCTCTCGAAATAGGTCCTACCATCCGTTATGATTCGTCGATATTATGTCACTTCTTTTACAGATCTTATTTTACGGCTTCTCGGCATAATGTACGACACAGCGAAAATGGAAGGTGAAAATGGCATACAGCCCTCGTCATTCATCGGGGTATTTGCATCTGTGATCAACGCTGGACCCGTAAGTTTCCAAGCATAGCGCAGCAAGCAGTATCCTGATTGCATGCATACCATATACACTACTACCAATAGCGCGACTAATGGTTAGTCTGCTTTGCATACTTACCTCGTTGATAGTTCGTCTACCTCTCCTTAAGAGCGAGTCCCCTACCTACCTTTTCTTTCCCCATTCTCCCCATTTTCCCCATTTACTTCATGGCGAACCTTCGTCTAGTTGGCTTTATCTTTATCAACCAAACACGTAACATATTTTGGGCCGCTCAAATCCTTATGGAGTAGCCTATTCTATGCATTATTTACGATTCCCTCATGTACAAGGGTGATCGTGACTGTTATGGCGCCAAGGTGCCAATAGGGGATATCCGTATTGGAAACCAAGGGTGGTTGGGGAAGAGCTTACAGAGACCCAGAACAGGCGGTATTACCAATCCTTGTACCCTGTGTAATATTACCTTACCCTCGCAAACGCAGGCACATGGATTCTATGTACATACACCGAAATGTGCTATGTAAAAGTCGTCTCTAGCTAAGAAAAGCCAAGTCAAATTCTCCTCTGCTTCCTAATACCACACCAGCCCTATTCGCTCCGATCATTTAGGTTCGCCGAGGAGCTTTATACTATATGCTATTATCTTGATGTTACTTGCGGTAGTGATGTTCTTATTTTTTATTATAAACGGGAAAACGCAGAATATCTAGGATGGGTAAGGTCTTGTATGACTAGTTAGCTGCCAAGGGCTTCTTAGGTTTACATAGCAAGGATAAAGGCCTAACGGGCAATTGCGGGAGTTGCCAGCTGGTACGGCCCACTGCGGAGATGATGTGAAGAAACATATGAGGGGATGATGACCGTATCATTTGCCCAATGGGCAAACTCAATACTATGTGGATTTGTTTCTGTACACACTAAGATACATTTGAGATGGAACAACACAGATCAAATCCTTCACACGCTCTCGCCGAGAATGACTAACCTAGTAGAAGGAACTGTGGGGTGACCTACCTAGAAGTATGAGCATCTTCAATCCGCAATATATTGCCACGAATTCTTGCAGAGGACAACACAAATAACAAGGCGGGCCCCTTTTCAAGTATGCTAATCTAAATAGTAGCCTAAAAATAGTCCAGAGCAAGGCTACATAATCTATTAACTGAGTATAGTTCTTAGCAACATCATGATAAATTTATTGGTTGGTTGTTTGTATATCACCGGGGCAAGAAGAAAGACAGGTTCTGTAAACGTCTCTACAAAAATACGCGTATTCTCATGGTTCTAATTTGATCATTTCTTTGCGGGTACTCACTAGAGTGTCTTTGTTTCGCTCCAGAACTTGTTGTGTTAGGTCCCAATAGCATCATCACGTAAGAGAAGGGGTGCGAACTAGTGCCTTAAGAGATACACTACATATGAAGGAAGGGTAGTGGACCTAGCCTACCGTCATAAAAGACCGGACATGGGTTAAAAATATATCCACTCAACTAAAATAATATTTTAAAATAAATAAAAATTGTATAAAATATTTTTAAAAGGGTCATTAAATAATAAATACTTAATGAATTAAATTAAAATTAAACCACTTTTCTTTTCTCTTTATAACATTTAAACTATTATAATGTTGTAATAGCACGTGACCCTCGAAGGTTTAAGTAGTGGGGACAATTCTTTTTTACCCATGTCCGGAGCTTTATGGGATACGAAAAGATTATCCTATGTCGTTCCATTCCATGGAGACCCTGGCAAAAGATTTTTGTGGTACAATACATACCTCCACACTCTCCCGAGCCAGGGCCTACTTTTGTTCGGTGGAGTAAAAATATCCTTCTTTGTGTCCTTCTTTAACTAGCACATATAAAGTAGTGGATCAGATAATGAACCTTTGTTTCCGATTTGCTAGATGGATATGTTCTCTCCGGAGAGCAGGGGCTTTATCTTACAGCTCAAACATTCAACTTGGTTACTGGAGAATGTTTGGAATAACCATTTTCGGGTAGGTGCGTCATCTAGAACATTGCTAATCATACCTAGATAGGTATGTAAATGTCAAAGCGTATCTACCCATGTAAGAGGTACCTAAGGCATGAGGTCGGGGGCGACTTTTTTTCTACGGTTCGCCTCCCCTGTGCCATTTCCTTGGGAACCGAGCGTGGAGCAATTCCTTTTTCTACAGTCTATCTAGCATGATCCAAGGGGCAGATATCACGCCAGATTCACGATGTTAACAAATTAGTTCATTAGAGTCTTAGGGGCCATACGATCAGACATGGGTGTATCTAACCGTTGGTAGGGAAATAGCAGTTTATTAAAGCGACAAAATCCCAAGGATGCGATTCAGAAGCGCGGTAAGGGGCACATCGTTACGCAGTGGAGGAATTACAGTGGTGTATATACGTACTGTTGTCCATCCTCGGAGCCACACCTTCATGAAGCCCTTTTCAAAGCGGCACAAACGTTTACTGGCTTACGCGCCACTCTCAGCCTCAACGTTAAATTAAGCATGCATGTCCTAATCCATGTCCGTGGGTGATCCTATTTAACTCCACAGCGGTACTAGGGGGGTCCTCCCGCGCCATCGGTAGCAATATCAGAGTCGTGTTATCCGACAGTTATTCTAGGATTGTAATACCTAGCTGGATTCAAGATGGCGTTGAAACAATATCCCCTTCTCTATAACACATATGTAAACGTTTATACAGACATCTGCCTATAAAATATACTGAATCGAATATCAGAATATATCAACTTCTATATATCACGTCAAGAGCAAGGTGGAATCGCCTTAGATAAAGCCCCTTCGGGTTTGCATGCTACTTATTACTGGAAATTATATTTTGGATTTCAGGCTAGTAGCTGATCTAGTATTTACAAGCTAACAGCTAGGTGCTTATCCTAAACATATACTATAGTATCTAAATTGCATCATCTGGGTGTTAAAACTGTCCGAGCGAAGATCTATGTTGAAATATACCTATTCTGGAAGATATGTATACGAGTGGATTTCAACCAATAGGCTACTAACCTGACTGGCAACTGGCTGGCTAGCTATGTTTCATAGCCTTGAATTACCATCACGAAGTGTCTAGCAACTACGCTAGTACTGTTCAATATCATCAGTAAAGAAAGTTCTAGGTTAAGGGTGTTTTATTTTGTACTTTAGATGTCTAAGATAGGCAGCATCCTGGTCCCTCGGCTATTGGTTTAAGCAATTCATTGTTGTAAGAGTATCCCCAAACTTGAATATCAGCCAAGCATTGAAGGTATCATTCACCTTGTAAAGGCAACAATCAAATATGTTTACCTAACAGAAACCTATACTCTCTAACTGTCGTTATACAATAGTCTAATACCGATACCCTTGTAACCGTATATATGTACAAGCATCCACTCCACAGACAATATCAAAACGGGACGTGCCGATATTTATCTCCACAGTGAGCCTAGGCATCGAAATAAACTACAAAGTGTCTTTATTTGGTTAGTTATCTTCAATTAAACTTTCGATTTTACATATCCTACAACAGATCCCCAGTAACCACCAAGACGTCATGATCTTACCGAAGGCCATGGATAACCTAGCAAAGAAGCCAACACCACTTCCAGGGGGGGGAGCCTACATATACACAACGCATTGCTTTAGTGGAAATGGATCTGCTGCATATCGTTACCGTCTAATTAGAAGTATGGATTAGTCCCTGTAATGGTACTACCGTCCATCCCGAAGTGACCTTCATACGTCTTAGTGATAAGCCAGGATATAGCAGCGACCTCATCCCGATAGCGTCCATTCTCCAGAAACGGTATACACAGACACCGCTAGTCTGCTTTCGAAATATTCAAGAGTTTTACCTTGCCTTATGTGTGGCATTCTGTGGCGGAGTTATCCTCCCGAGTACGGATCTGTACCTTGCCTACATATACACTATGCATTCAAATCACATATAACATGAGTCTACAGAGATATCCACCTCCGTCGCTCCTATTACTTGTCTAATATTGCAGATCCAAAACCAGCGGTTAGAACCCATGAGTCTACCTCGACAGCCTAGTTATAATGCCCGTTTAGACCATTAGAGGAACGAAGCTCGAATATATTATACCACTACGGATACAAGGTATATAAAGCTACCACTTCTACTCATATTATCTCTCAGCCAGTCCGATATCTATTACTCACTCCCAACGAAGTACAGCATGCGACCTATAACCTGTTCATTCGATCCCGTCGGGATACCATTCACTTCAGACACCAAATACGAAAGTTTCGAGTTCTTAAAGGAAGGAATTTCTAACACTGTTTCTGGTCTCGAAAATTGCGATGTTTTTGATCCGCGCTCTGTAGGAGTTCCATGGCCAACATTAATACCTGCAGTAGCACAGTGCAAGTATTGGAGAGAAGCAGAGGAGGTAGCAGAAGCCCTAATGCATCAGATTGTCTCTGCGGCACCAGGGCAACAAGGGTCTTTGCCAACAGAGTTTACCAATTCGAGTTTGAAAGGGGCCAAGCAACGGGAACTCCTCGATACCTGTGTTACGGCAGCAATAAACATGTTTCCTGCAGCGAACTTGGCTCGGGCGAAACTAATGGTTAAAGCAACCTTGCTTACTTTCATGCACGACGGTAAGATATTCCCATTTCTTGAGAGTAACCATTTCTTTGGGTATCTCTTCTTACAATATCTTCCCTGGGAAAGAACGCGATCCATTAAAAACCACACAATGCTCTCTCATGCATTAAACACGTGGTCTCCAGTGATAGATACTTAATGGTATACTATTAATCAGTATTTTTCAGTATTTTGAATCAATGCCAGTGGTACTAACAGGATTTTGCAGATGTCGTTGAATCCACAGAGGTATATATATGATACTGCCATGCAACTTCGCCTCTGGGCATTACCTACTAACGCTCGACATAGCAATCTACAATCATCGATGATGCTCTCGCCGACATTGTTGGCCAAGAAGAAAAGGGTACAGAGATCTTGTGTAAAAACAACATATTCAAAGAATTTACACTGGAATGCATACAAGAGGACCCCGTTGTCGGGCCACTATTCGTGAAGGGCATATTGAGCTGGGTACAACATACACGCGATAACCTGCCCGGATCCATGACATTTAAGTCTTTAAACGACTATATTGACTACCGCATTGGCGACTTAGGTGTCGAGTAAGTTTCCTCGTTAGAATCAACGCGCGACAGTGCTGAACTATCCATAGCTTTTGCAATGCAGCTATAATGTTGTCATGCGAGATTTTCGTCTCTCCGTCCGAAATGGAGCCTCTTGCAACCTTACACCACCTGTACATGACACACTTCTCATTAGCAAACGACTTATACTCGTACGATAAGGAGGTCTACGCTATGAAAAACAATGGCGCTGCACTGATCAACGGCGTCAGAGTTCTAGAACTTCTTCTCAATACTTCGCCTCGAGCAGCGAAGGTCCTTCTCCGAGCATATCTATGGGACCTCGAGTTTCAAATCAACGAAGAGCTTGCACGGCTCTCGCACTGCGGTCTTTCTTGTAACCAGTGGCGATTTGCTCGTGGAATGGTAGAAGTGATTGCAGGAAACCTATTTTACTCCGCGACCTGTTTGCGGTACGCAAAACCGTCGTTGAAAGGGATATAAGATACACTGGAGTTGAGACTAGGAAAGCAGCAACAGGTAGCTGGACCAAATATAGACTATAGAGCATAGAATATAGAGTGTAGAATAAAACATTCTGATATAAAGCCAAAAGTTGCCAACCTACTTACTATCCCGTTTGCCGGGATATAGGGGATTTTCAACCCTTGTCTCTACGCCATATACAACACTTTTAAACTTGGCTTTCTTGTTGCTTATTATTCGCTTAGGTAGTCAATGAATGGTATATTTCGACTTCCATCGATATTGAATAATCCAACGAGTGCAACTCTAGATTATTCATAGGCCCCGCTACCTCCTAGGTTAGACCCAACCCGGAACGGAGCGTCGTAGAATTTCCTTTTTAGGTAAATTCGACATTGCCTAATAAGCCCCAAACGATTTATCACTCCACGCCGTTCCCATTATCAGCTGTTATCGTTCGTGTTCTTGTCTCGCGACTTTATGCTTAGAGCGCATTCTGAACTAATCGTTAGCCTCTTCAAAATCTCGCGCGAGTTTCCACCATGGCATCCACCAAGGAAAACGATAACGAGGAAGAGCAAGCGTTCCTTCAACCTGGGGCGCCCCAGGAAGATGTTGCTTGGTCTCGGGAAGGACGAGGTCCTCGCAAGGCAACACGATACCTGCGACTCGCACTAGAGATTGCAATGGCAGTCATCATAATTCTACTATTGGGCAATATAGTTTACCAACGAATAGATGGCAAACAAACTCCAGTTCCGAATTGTACCTATGCTCCCCTTCGCAGTATAACTTGATAGCGACAAGACCCTGATTGTTCACATGCTTGAAGTTCCCCGAAAGACATACACATTCCTCCCGGATGCTAAATACGTACGCGACGACATGCTCTTCGACGAGCATGACACCCTCCATACTCTTCACAACTGGATACCGCTAAGCGCAGGTACGTACGATCATGAATCAAGTATATGAATGGGGTCTGACTAGTTGACATTGATTGGCATCTATAGACGCCAGAGGCTACGTCCAGATTCCCGATTATGAAGTCTACGATATTCTCGGAAAGCCCCATACAGTAGCCATCAACCGGACGTCTGACGGACCCGCATACATGATGTCAGTTTTTCACCAGCTTCATTGCTTGTCATATGTCGTCAAGCATTACCAGCAAGGATACGCCGGCGTCAAATTGACGGAAGAGGTAGCCCATCACTCGTCACACTGCTTCGACTATCTCCGCCAATCCATCATGTGTTCCGCGGATACCAACTTAGAGGGAGAGTCGGAATACGGCCCAGGCTGGGGATCGAAACACGAATGCGCCGATTACGATGCTGTGCTAACTTGGGCAAATAAGCATTCGGCGATGAAATGGAGGAATGGCCTTCTCCCGGACGATGCTGTACTCTAATTAAATTAGTTGGTCCTTGATTTGGGCGAATTGTATATATGATCATCAAGGTACATACCCTCCTATTATACAAACTGCATGCGCTAGCAAAGGGACAGGGGCAGGAAGCATATATCGACAGAGCTGTGTAATATTGTAGTAGTGTAGCAGAGGGCTATTGTAGAAATGTACAAGGTGCTATTCAAGTAGCAACTTAAAGGCTGCTGATACATCTGCTGGCATCTGCCGGTTGCTAGGCAGCGTGGTGCATCCGAAGTTGACTTAAATAGTTCTTTAGGCAAACACTCTGCCATCCCTTATCAGATGCTGCAAACCCAACACGGCCGTGGTCAAGCGGTTATTTGAAGAAGGGTGATGAAATAATTCTACGACGAGTTTTTCGTAGGGCATAGGTTCGAATCATTGTCAGGGCGGCAGTAAGGCCAACTGTTCAGGTCAAATGACAATGGTTCGAATTCTGGGACCCGAGCTTTTTTGTCCCCTTTTATCTTTTATTTTATTTTCTTGCTCCTTCCTACTCCTTTTTTATGACAAAAAGATATTCCAAACCTGAATAGAAAACGCGAAATGTCTTAGAACCCTAACCCAATATATAGCATATGCATTTACATTTTGATACAGTTTATGACAACTATTAAAAGGCCATTATGTACTTCTCAATATTTAATATTGCACTCTCATCCATGTCTGAGAACTTTAAGACGGAAGCCCGCCCAAAACATACTCTCATGATAATATTCTAACGCACATGGCTATTTTATTCGAGATTTAACTTTATCATAGTCTATAGACAGGAGGCAACATGTGTTACCTTTAGCTCATATCAGAGACATGTTTGATCTCGGGGACTCATTCATATATTTATGTGATCACACTGTTTAAAGTTATGTTTCATACTAATGTTGAATAATATAAGGGAAAGGTGATGAAAAAGTCTAGGCAGTGAGGTTCTGAATAGGTGAAACTCGACGTGTCATATATCACCATACGAATTCGGGAGTAATAACAAAAGGAGGAGGAAATTAAAAGATGTATCCATTTAAGCGAATATACATACAAGCGCAATAGAATATTGCCAACACTTTGTCGATCAGGCAGTGGTTTATGTTGATTGTAACAGACCGACTTGTTTTCTTACCAAATCACCACATTTGGTATTCTTTATATCCAAGGTCGCAACAAATGCCTAGCCAATCATCCATACCTTCATATTTATAGCGAATATGAACATTGAGCCTAATTGTATCATAAGCGCCGAGAGCTATGAGAAGTTCGGGCTCAACCACCAACGCCGTGACACCAACCAAAGCGTCCAAGATTTCATTGATCACGATCACGGTCTTATGAGTAAAGGTATGTGGGGTCTACATCGCCGCGCTAAGATCCACATCAACTCTAACTCACCTTATATGCTGTGTATCAGAGATATACGGAGGATCTTAAATATAATATAGGCATTGGAGAAGATGAACCTCCAGGAGAGAACATAAGACAAGTATTCTGTCAATTACGCGGCCCGGAGACAGGATGTAGGTAGCTCTACAGCCGAAGATCACTCAATATTCAGGACTGACAATCAACTATCCTGCAGATCTCTCACGGAATAAATTCAAGCACTTATTTGAGAGAATATTACCTACCCCATCTTCAGGCGTCGAGGTACTGCTCTTTGATATCTTTAGTTGGCATGCGTTCTTCCCCTTCCCACCAACGTGTACCACCTCAGGAGAATTCTGTATAGATGAAGATGCTTTCACTCGCGCTGTCTGTCAGCTGGTGTGGACTTATTCGCCACACCATAGTGCGCATATGCGGGAGGGGAGGGCGCCTACCACGGTGTTATCACCGGAAATTGGGGGCCACATTTCAGCTGGCTCGTTTCAGCCCGCGGTACCGATGTCAACGATTACATGAGATGACTATTCCGGAGCCTTGCTATTCCAAACAATACAAAAACAGGCATTGAAATAACAATTCTGGTTCCTAGGTTCTTGATGTACCAATCGCGGCAGGACGAGCCGTATTCTGGAGATGATTCTGAGGACGAGGATCTGCAACAGGTCGTTATCGTCGAGAAAGAGAGTGAGCGAACGATAGATATCCAAGATGTTATCTCAGAATGTCCCCCTGATCACCATACCATGGTAGGAGACCCGTTACGAGAAGGCTACAAGCTTGCCTTACCCTTTCTTCCACATCGTCCATACGATCTAACTGACCTTCACGTCCCAACAATAAAGGTTCTGAGTCTCTTCCCCTTGCTCTACGCCGAGGACGACTCGGACGAGGAAAATGAACTAGTCTCCGAAGAAGATAATGAGCCAGACATTGGAGCTGATTTTATTACCTCGATCGAGCGACTGGGTACCGAAGAACTTAGCTGGGAAATATTCAACACCATGTTGAATGAGCATGCGGTAAGCTATCCCTTATTAGTATTCGAATGCTATGTTGCTAAGTTTTTTCAATAGGAAGTTATCGTAGATACTTTAGCGCGAATTTTCTCGATACTCAAAGCTCCATTAGATGGACCTATAGTATGATATTATGAGCTCGAATAGATATGAATATTTCAACATATTTAGGTAGGTAGGTAGATAGGTAGGTAGATAGATACCTAAGATAGGAGGTTTAGTTAGGTAGTTCCATAAAGACACCAACATTTCTATACTGATATAACGGGGTATCCTACAAACCGCGTAAGACCTACATGTATGTACTTACCCCACCAATACATGTAATTCAATCCAGCAGGATATGGACATAGGTACCTTATGTAGCTATGTATGTAGTGTTGCATTAGTGCATATACCTAGGTACTTGTCACATACGTTAATTACCCAAGCCCCACCAAACGCGTGTTAGGACGCGTTCGCGCGTCTTCAATTTACATTCACATTCACATTCACATTCACATTCACATTCACATTTTATACCTACCCTGTACAACTGTACAAGGGCCAATTTTAATACGGTACGTCCAAGCAACAAGACACATTGGTGACCTCAAAGCTATCAATTCTAGAGAACTGAATTGGCCTGTCAAAAATGATATCTGCTTCGTCTCCCGTTATATATCCAGCTAGCTCCTCCCCGGTGGCAGCGGCAAAGCGCACGAAACCACATCCTGATCCGAATCCTCGATCCCGTGCGAAAAGTGGCTTCCTCGTTGACGATGACTCCGACGATGAGGATATGCTGCAAGAGCCAGCAACTAAAAGACGGATGCTTAGTAGCCCTAGTGACCAAGCAGCCATAGAGTACACCGAGCCGTCTTCACCTCCGTCAACAATTCCCAATCTTGACCTTAAGAAAGTTAGTTCGGTACCTCCCGAGACCGTTTCACAGCCGAGCCAAGACGTCAATAGGAGCCAGCCCTCTATAACGAGCACGTTGTTCCAATCGAACAATGTACCCTCCATATTTGACCGATTTGCCTCTCGTCAAGCGCAAAGCACATTTAAGATTACTACCTGTTCAGGTAATATAGTCAACGTCAAGCAGAAGAAGGCTGGTGCTGGTGTGTCTTATGAAAGGATAGTTGCCGCGCGTTCGAAAACGAAAGAGGGTCGAGCAAAGAAGAGTTACTATGGCATCGAGATCCACGAGATAATAGAGGCTGCTTCCAAGGAACTCACCAACACGACCTCGGGTTCTAATACCGTACCGGATCAGCCAATGACTTCCGTGGAAGCTATCAAGAAACCGAAGAAGACACTCTTGTGGACTGAAAAATACCGAGCGAGGAACTTTACGGACTTGGTGGGCGATGACCTTACGAACCGGCAAGTCTTACGCTGGCTAAAAAGATGGGATCCGATAGTTTTTCCGGGAACAGCAAAATCGAGGACTGCTACGAGACGACTGGGCGCAAAAGCGGGAGCTGAAGAAGAAAAGCCGCACCGAAAAATTTTGATGCTCACTGGCCCTCCTGGACTGGGGAAAACTACGCTTGCTCATGTTTGCGCGAAGCAGGCAGGTTACGAAGTAGTGGAAATAAATGCCAGTGATGACCGCAGTCGAGATGTCGTTAAAAACCGGATTCGCACCAGTTTAGGAACGGAAAATGTTAAAACTGTGCAGCAAAATAAGCCCCAGGACGGGAAACAACAGAAAGTTGCACGACCCGTGTGCGTAATTGTTGACGAAGTTGATGGTGTCGTGACCGGTTCTGGTGGTTCTGGAGAAGGTGGATTTATTAAAGCCCTTATGGACCTGATTACTATCGGAGAGAAAAACGCATCCGGGCAAGATGACACTACTCAACAGTCAGGGCGTCGTAAAAAGAAAGGTGATGATTTCCGCCAAATGCGGCCTCTTATTCTAATCTGCAATGATATTTATCATCCGTCACTCAGGCCTCTACGACAGTCAAATCTAGCCGAGGTTATCCATGTTGGCAAACCTACTATTGACGCAGTTGTGACTCGCCTCAAGATGGTGTTCGAGAAAGAGGGTATTCCATGCGAAAAGGACGCCGCGCGAAAGCTATGTGAGGCAGCGTGGGGCATGAGCAATGGTATGGATGCAAAGAAGGGCGCAGAGAGCACAGCTGAGGGAGATCTACGAGGTATTATGGTCGTGGGCGAATGGGTTGCGGGCCGTGTCAGGTCTGCATCTCTCAAAGGTCCGCCGAGTTTAACACGACAATGGGTTGAACGGAATATTGTCCATGATCTGTCCCATGGCGGTGGTGGTGCGAGAGGCGTGGGGCGCGGTAACGTGAGGGATATCGTCACGCGCATCTTTCAAGATGGCGCTGGGTTCCCAAAGAGCAATGTACTCATTACGGCTCCCATCCCAAAACACCAAAGTGAACAGCCACAAGCACAGCTAGGATTCTCGGAACAGCAGAAGAAGTACGGAATGGAGCGCCTGAGAGAGATGGTCGAGACCAGCGGCGATGTGGACCGAGTAATGACGGAGGTCTTCCTAGACTATCCGAACCATGAGTTTAATGACGACTCATTCCTGTCTAAGCCGGACTGCGCTTACGAGTGGATGCATTTTCACGACGCATGTTCGTCTAGGTTGTTCGGAAGTCAAGACTGGGAGTTAGCCCCTTATCTTAGCCAACCTATTCTCGCATGCCACCATTTATTCGCAATGCCTATCCGGCGTGCCAATCTAGCTTACAACCAAAAGTGGGGTGGAGGTAATGCCGATGATGACGCTCCGCCGCTGCCTTTCTCAGGTCCGAGAGCAGACTTCGTCGCTCGCGAGACCGGGAAGGAGAACCGCGCAATACTCCAAGCAATGCAGGCTCAGCTACCGCCGACGCTCATGCGTTCTTTCCGCAGTGCTGAGGATATCGCTACAGACTTCCTTCCATATCTCATCCGCCTAGTGTCTCCGGATGTGAAACCTGTTGTCGTTGGGGGTAGTGGAGATCAACGGAGCACGGCAAGCGTCCGGAAGGACACAGAGAAGGCCATGGTAAAGCGAGCCGCTGATGTGCTAGCTGAAGTCGGTATCGAGCTTCAAAAGGGGAAGATAGAGAGCGAATCACCCTTTAGTAGAGGTCCGGAGTGGGTTTACCGCATGGAACCGTAAGTAAAACATTCTTCACGACGTCGGGTTTCCGGAATTGGTTACTAATAAATCTACAGCGACCTCGATGCCCTCGTCACTTTCGAAACATCTGCAGCCGTCATCCACGGTACACAAGCCCCGACACGCTACGCCGTGCGGCAGGTGCTAGACCAGGAATTACAGCTAGCTAAACTACAGCGGGAGAAGCTGGCCCGACAGGCGCGCTTCCGAGGCGGCGACCCGCATGGCGCGGCACCTGAGGACACCTCCTTTATATTCAACGACAACAAGGAGAATAAGACGTCGAAACTGCCGGGGTTGCCTATACTCGGCGTGAAGAAAGACTTCTTCGGACGCGTTATCGAGAACACAGATACTCGCGCTCTGAGGGAGACTGATGCCAGCGGTAGGCCTAGAAGCAGGGCCGCCGGAGAAGGGCAAGAAAAGGGCGAGGCTAAGATCTGGGTTACGTTTCACGAAGGCTTGAATAATGCCGTGAGAAAGCCTATATCGTTAGATGAACTGCTCAGGGGTTTGTGATAAGCACCTCATAATAGTGGTTGACGTGTAAATGACTTGGGGTCCTGGGGTCCTGGGGTATGGCATTGGCTGGGGGCATGCGTATGGTGTTCAGGTTATAAATGGCATTTTCATTGTTGAATGAAGCCTAGCGCTTGTTTTTAATGATTCACCCTTAATTGCTCTTGGTTTCGACAGGTTCGCTGTATCTCCGGCGGTGAGAAATAGAAGCTCGTATGGCTAGTAAATCCTGGATCGCATACTATGATATAATGCGTTCGTCATGAATCGTTCACTTGACATAGACATTATACATAAAATATAGCTCACCAATTATACACTAGATTAGAGTAAGGCGCACCCACGCTCAAACTACGGGACCCTTCACCAGGACAGTCATTGTCTAGGCTCCTCTCCCATCTGCTCCAATACATTCCGAAACACCTTCGCCTCGGCCTCCATCTCCTCCGCCGTCCGCGGGTGCCGCTCCGAATCTTCGATACTGGGGAAGCTTCCGCCGGGTTCAGGTCGCTTGCCCAGCTGCTGCTGGAGCTTCCTTAGTTCCCGATCCCATCTTCGGTTAGTTATCATTAGCATATATATAGGTAGTTATACACAAACTTCGTTTCAGCTTCTCACTTTCGGACTACAGGTTCTCTTCTCCCCTGTTTTTAGACAATAGGATAGAACAAGGGGGGAGTGCAGAACATAAACTTACAGCGCCCCGCCGACATTCCCGTCCTCCGCCGCCATCGACTCGTAGATCTGGTCGCCGGGGCCGGCTTGCTCCTTGGCGGTGGACCCGCGGATGCGCGGGATGACGTGGACGTGGACGTGCGAAACGGTCTGGCCGGCCTCGACGCCGTCCTGGATCGCGATGTTGAAGGACCCGGCCTCGGGGGTGCCGACGGCGTGGTCGTCGTGGTCGTCGTTGTTGTTGTTGCTTTGCTGCGAGGGAGATGTGAAGTAGTGCCGTGCTAGCATGCGCTGGACCCGCTGCACGGCTTGGAAGAGATCGGTGAGCTCGGGCGCGGTGAGCTCGGTTAACCGTTTGTGTGGCTGTCGCGGGCAGACCAGCACGTGTCCGGGTAATAGAGGCTTGAGGTTGACGAGGGCGAAAGAGTGCGGTGTTGTGAGGAAGACCTGGGCGTGGTTAGTTTGGTTTGGTTGGTAGAGAGGGTTATAATAAGTAGATGGTGTTTATTCATCTATCCGTCAAGATTCATCTCATTCTTATTTCTCTCATCCTGGACTTAGGTAGGCTATGTGTCTTTTCAAGCCAGAGCTACAATTCCGAAATAGTTATATGTAAGTTGACTTACCTGAGGCGTGACCTCAAACGGGCCAAAGTGAATTGGCCCGGCCGTCTGAGAACTCATGTTTCGTTTGTGAGCGATGTTTCTGAATATGAGATTGACTATCGAGATGCGATTTCGTTGCATGGCCTGGGTAATATAGAGTGTGCTATTGCTTAGCAGCCATGTTATATATAAAGCGTGTGGACTGCCCTGCGGTTAAACAAGGAACGCTTCAGATTCCAATTTCGTCTTGGCTTAAGTCTTACTACGATGAGGCGCAAAACTGCTGACTTGGAGAATGGTAATCAAGGGTTGGCAAACTGACCAGAACCGAGTGACGCTAAACGTGATGTTCGATTGAGTATAGCTCGGATAAATGCATCATACTCCTCATGAGGCAGATCGTCTAGACGCGAATAATTTAGTAGTACGATATATGGTTTACGCTGTACCCCGATAATGAAGTTTGTTTAGTAAACATCGTCATTGAACTTATCACGTCGTTAATTTAGATGCTTAAAGTTTGAATATCATATGTCATCTTCTTTAATGCCATCTTAGCACCATATCATTTTGCTAGGTTAGGTTAGATCGTTTATTATAAGTCCCAGGTATAATTACCTAAGCAGTAATAAGTCTTCAAGTTATATGTGTCTTCTGCTTTATTTAAACGACTTGGAACTAACACAACAACACGATCACTAACACTAATAGTAAAAAAACGCGTGGATGTCAATTTATTAGCATCGATAAGTATTTATATTTTCATGTGATTATATATTGTCTTATCTATGTTCCAGTGTGCCATTATCCCAGGCATACACATTTTCAATCGAATGAATGTCTATGACAAGCACATCTTATATCCGTACAAATAAGAGCTGATCACCGTTTACCGCTTACTAAACAATCACACTTTTAATGATTTATATGAGCACTATTACGAGATCTAAGCAAGCGTAATATATCACTCAATTAAATTAAAGACGGACGTGAAGATTTCCCCCCTATTGTCTTTAAACTAAAGACCTATCGCCTATCGCCTATACTTTCTGCTTTTATATGCGGTATGCATAAGTAATCCCAACCGTTGCTATTGGCGAGGTCGTATGGAAAACTAGGACTATGCTTCTCAGCTCGGTGGACCCGATGGCGACTTGCGAGGCCTAGCCAGGGATATTTTGTCTTTACCTGCCATCCAGTAAAATCCATGTATACCTACGTACTAAGTCCTCAAGGTTGGAGGTTTGCCACAATATAAATGTCAAACGCCGAGCATGGGCTATGCTTCGCATTTTACTCCATAAGTTGACATGACCTAGTCAGCTAAAAGTGTTGTTGGGACGACGTTCAATATCTCATTGGCCAATTCCGCGTCTGATTTTGTGGGGAGTTCGTGAAGCATCTTAGCTATCTAAGACATAGACTACCTATATACCGCATCCGTAGCGGTCACCTCATTGTAATTGACGAATAAGAAATAAGTACAGACCTAGCGGTCACCGTAGATCCCCGCGAGCCGCAAGGTGACAGTTACATACACCAATACGAGGACAGGAGGGCGCGGGAAGATCGGGGAAGTTGTGTAAGACGCGAAAGGGGACGGCGGAGTGGGTGGTATGATACTACCAACTAACAAGGAAACTTTTATGTAACGGTATTATTCCGAGTGGGCTCGTATGACATACGAACTCTTTATTAGTAGTTATAATGGAATTGTCTTTATCTTTCCCCAGATTCTCCCGCCGTATAATTGACAAGACTTGGACGGGATTCCTCTGCCGTTCCCAATTTTAACCTTCTTTCAACGTCGAAAGAGAGCCTCAAGCGTAAGGCAGAGAAGACGGCTATATCTTCAAAGAGTCTTGTTAATAAGTTAGCTCCGATTCGCTGTTCGTACTAAGAACCATATTGTAATTAGAGACGAGGGAGGTCATCCATGACCCTCACGCCACAGAATGCAGATGACAGCTGCCTCATAAATCAAACTGTCCCGACGGGGGTCATGTCACTTCCGTCGGAGTACCTTGACGAAAAGAAGCAACTTCCCAATACCAATTCCATATCTAATTCCGGCGAGGACAAGGAGAGCCAGAAGGGGCGTTCCCGTTCCATCGAGGATGCAACTGCGGCATCGCCATCGTCTTTATCGTTGGATGGGGACGACAGTAATAACGACGATAATTTTCCTGAAGGCGGCCTAGCGGCCTGGCTCGTAGTTTGTGGCTCCTTCTGCTCCATGCTTTGTCTGTTCGGTCTCATTAACTCGGTTGGCGTTTTTGAATCGTACTTCTCGACACACCAGCTTACCGGCTACAGCTCCTCAACTATCGGCTGGGTCTTTAGCGTATATCTATTCATCGTCTTTTTCTTTGGCGTCCAGGTCGGTCCTATTTTTGACAGGCACGGTCCCAGACTACTTATCGCCATCGGTAGCGTGTTAGTCATCGCCAGTCAGCTCATCCTAGGGTTATGTGAAGGTGAGTACCCCTATTTAGAACCCCTTATGTTTATCATATCTATTAGTAAAACATGTGCTAAATAATTGAAAATAGAATACTACCAGATCCTCCTCGCATACGCGGTCCTCGGGGGTATAGGGGGTGCTCTTCTCAACGTGCCTGCCTATGGAGTGATAGCACACTTCTTCAAGAGGCGTCGTGGCTTGGCTGTTGGTGTCGCTGCGACGGCGGGATCTGTCGGCGGAATTGTGTTCCCCCTCTTCCTCCAAGCTGTCATTCCAAAACTTGGCTTTGCATGGAGCACGAGGATCATCGGTTTCATACTGCTGTTCCTATCAGTCATAGCCAACCTCCTCGTGCGCTCCCGCCTACCCCCAAGTGCCCACCCAATACGCATCTTACCGGATTGGACCCTCTTCAAGGATGTCAAGTTCACTCTATGTTGCATCGGCGTCTGGTTTATGGAGTGGGGGATCTTTACCCCATTGGCGTACATCGTTTCGTACGCCGCAGCTCACGGCCAAGATGCCAACGATGCATACACCTTCCTCGCGATTCTTAACGCTGGGTCATTTTTCGGTCGATTCCTCCCCGGATTCCTAGCGGACCGCTTCGGCCGCTTCAATGTCATTACAATAACGAACGCGCTGTGTGTCGTCACTATCCTAGCTTTCTGGCTTCCTGCCGGTGATTCGCGTGCCTTGCTCATCGTGTTTGCCGTCACCTTCGGGTTCGTTTCCGGAAGCAATTTGGGTTTGTACCCCGTGTGTATCGGTCAGCTTTGCGACGCCCGTGATTATGGCCGCGTTTACTCTACGGCGGTTATGGTCGGCAGCTTCGGTACCCTAACCGCCCTCCCTATCGCCGGTGCACTTTTGGGGATCGGCAGCGACGAGCGTCAAGGCTGGTTGGCGCTGATTCTCTTTGCAGCGCTGTCGTATGCTATCTCAACGAGCTGCTTCCTTGGAGCTCGCGTATTGGCTGTTAGTTGGGGAGTAAAGGAAATCTATTGATGCTCTGGTACCAGTTTCACTGTAACCTGAGGATAGAATTAAAGGGAACATGCAAATGACCAGTTGGTTTCTCGGCATATTAAATTAGGCGCTTCGGGTAGATTGATGGAAGATAGCACTGGGTTTGGGATCGGGAGTTTTGTGCGAGACCGGTCCTATTCAAGCATATTCTATCGCCGTGCGTGCGTAAAATTGTGTCTATAGATTCGAATCCTTAGTAAATCTTGTTACCCCTAAGGTGTAAGACTACCTATATTTAACAGACAACAGTATAAACAAATCTAAAATTAACCAATATTACACTAGATTGTACATATATTGGTGCAAGGCAGGCAGAAAATATTTACGCCAGCACCGATTTGAATTCGTACATATGAATATATCTTAGGTACATAGGTAGGTAGGTATAATGTATATCATCTGAAATGTCATATATATAAAGGTAGTCATTTGACCTAGATGTCAACGACTTTTTACTTACATCTTTCCTTTCGTACATATATAAGGTTGCCGTATGTGGTATTATATCGATACAATAAGTCGTTTAAACCCGTGGTAAGGAATCACCGATAATCTCTTCATCAGACATGACATTTGGGTCCTGGGTATCACCGGGAATTCGAACCGGGACTGCAATATAGCCGTCATCTTTCAAATGTACTATGAATAAAATTAGTTTTTATAGCCTTTAAGGCATCGAGGTGGAGTGAGACTCACGATGAGGTCTTACGAAGAAGCTTCCGAGTATCGCTAATCCGAACATCGAAGCTAACAGGACGAAGAAAGCCTGTGGAAAAGTCTCGACTGTTGCAGCATAGACGCCGTTGAAAAGCGCGGGAGCAATAACCCTTCCGAGTGCATGTAACAGGCCAATAGCTCCCAGCAGGGAGCCCACACGCTGGGCTGGAACATGCTTCGTGATCGCGCTTTGGATAGTGGCATTTGCTAAACCGCCAAATGCGGTAGCCAGACCGCAGAGGACAAAAAATTCTTCTGAACGCACGAATATGTAGCCAAAGATACCCACGGCATCACTAAGGAGAGCAAAACGTAGGAGCCATACATCTAGGTTATCAGCCCCGGAGCTTTTCTCGATCACATTCACGTCGCCATTCTCACGCCTCCGACGGCGCAGTGGCAGGACGCGGAATACGTAGTTGATGGCTGGGAGTATGAAGAGAAGGATGACAACGCGCGCCAAGCTAACGACCGATACAAACTCCGAGGCTTCTAGGGTGTCCCAATGGAAGATGTGTTCAGAGTAGAGTACAATAATAGTACCAGCACCCATAGCGGCAGCTAGGAGCATCGTGTCGATGAGAGCAAGGATAATCAGGTTCCGCCGCAGAGGACTATTATCCCTCCCACCAGGGACTAGTATCTTTAAGGGAGCAAATGGGTTGGCGCTCAGAATTGCGGGAAGCCAAGTTCCCATATGGTCATCGACAAAAGAAGCAGCTCGTGGCCCAATGAAGACCTGAACTGAATCTGGAAGTCCGGATCTAAGTTCAATGGCTGCAGCTTCGTTTTCGGCACGATGCTTCTCGCGTGCAGCGAGCTGACGTTTCTTTGATATCGACTCGGGAAGAATAAACCAGAAATATAGGATGACAGCGGCGTGGCAAACCAAGACGACATAAAATATCGATATCAGGGAACTCGTCCATTTGACGAAATAACCAGCAATCAGAGGTCCAAACGCCAAGCCAGTAAATAGACAAGCATGTAGGTAGCCAATATGTACTCCGCGCTTAGATGGAGGTGCACAATCACTTGTATACGAGTTAGTTAATATGCTACCCGCCGTAAAGGAACCCGTTATGCCATCGAAGAACGCGCCTAGGACTAGCCATTGGTAGCTGACGGTATCTGGGAACTTTGCAGCCAAGATAGTGATACACTCGTTGACTAAACCGCCACATGACGCCATCACCATCAAGCGCTTTCGACCGTGCCGATCAGATAGTGCTCCTACCTTTGGTGCCGTGATCGCGCTTAAGGCGCCGGTAAGAGCACTTATTATAAGTGTGAAAGCAGCGACCTTCTTTTGGACCGGGGCGCTGGTGCATAAGTCATCATCGGCGCCTAAAGGTCCTAGTAGATTTATAAAATTCGGTTCAAGCTGCTGGCGGTCGGTGAAGTGAGTACGACATATTAACTGAACAATTCTAAAGGAAGTAATGTTCTAGTAAGCGATTGTTGTTAATGGAAGTGCGCTGAAGTTGTATGGCTTACAAATTGAGCTTCGGCACGAGAATACCGCCAAATGCAAGAGAGAACAGAAGATACGGCGCTAGAAGCCAGTATACCTGATTTCAAGTTAGCTATTGGAGTTTCTTTGCATCTCATCTGTATACAACGCACCGATGGTGTCCGCCACCATGGGAGATCGGCGAAATCTTCGTGTCCTATCCAGCTCTCCTGACCCTTCCCATTCCTGTCATCTTCTGTCGCATTACTTGTGCTTGCGCCGACCAGCGGACTCGTTTCCGTTGCTCCCTCCCATTGGTCTTCCTCTTCGTCTATAAGCAAGATCGGCCTACTATCTCTTTCGACGGGTTGCGCATTGCTCGTCATTTTGGCTGGGGGCCTATTGCGCGATTACGGGCTAGTTCTAGGAGCCGTTCAACAACTCGAATATCTAGCACCGCCAAATATGAAACGATGAACCGGATACGCCGGAGTATTCGACGGATTCCGTAACCTAGTGCTTTGATGATGCGCCGTTACACTATGTAACTAACTAGAACGCCTGAATAGAGAACTATATAATCAGCTATAAGGCGATCACCTCCGCTTCGATGGTATGTCTTATTTGGAACCCGACGGAGGTCTGTCATTGACCTAGAGGGTTTAGAAAGAGGGAATGAGAGAAGAAGGTGGAGAGAAGCTCCATGCCGAAAGTTATATTATAAGTGTTTAAGATACCATTGGTCGATCTACGTTGATGATGTGTAGTTAGGATTCCAGGATTCCAATTAGAGCCTGGCTTTGCTTGATATTGGGTGTCTCGACAACCCAACGGCCGAAAAATGCCAGCGCTAAGCGTTAGAGAAAGTGATGCGAAAGTTACGTGTGGGTTATATTGGATTATCTATTAACCTAACCTAGTTGAATCCCGTATCTTTGGGAGTGGGTGGATCCGTGGGTTGATGGATCCGTTAGGTACATAGGTCATTCCATGTTACATAGGTAGGTACATATCAACATCATTAAATGGTACATGTATGTAACTACCTAATTCTATAACATTGAATGTCTACATTATACGTACATAGGTACGTACGTAACTTAGACTATCGGATAAGTGACGACTCTTTTTTCATCATATGCATACTTGATCTATTATACATCATTATATTTCATTCAGTCATTATACGCGAGTCGCGTTTTTAAATTCGCATCCGTAATTAGCGTGAGACAATAGATGAAATGCGCGCTAGCTGCGATGTAAAGCCTACCTAGGTACCTACAGATGTATGTATTAGAAATACAATAATGTAACCTAGTAGGTACAAGTACATATTGTCAGAGGTGGAGGCCGTGGCGTGATGTGATAGGAAGGGTGTTAAGGATCCCATCAGTTCCTAGATCTAATCAGTACAACGAGGTATACTTCGTAATCTTATCTTTTATCTAGGATCTTGATCATTGAGCTATGATGTAAATCAAGAGACATACGTACATAATTCTCACAGCAAAAGGTACCTACGTAATCTGTAGTGTATACTCTTGGTATACGGTATACGAAGGCAATAATAAAGGAGGATGTACGAAGCAAGAAGAGAAGGCATTGCTTACTAAATCTCAAATCAAGTGTAATGCTAGACTATGTACAAAGTGTATGTAGGCAATCATCAGAGTGGGGAGACATGCTCAAGTTATCGCCAGCTAATTGATGATGCAGATGTTCGTGGGGTGCAGGAATTCGGGGTCCAGCAGGATCCGACAACTGACAGATTTCTAAACTCCACTATGTACCTACCTCATAACTAGACTTAACTTACATAACATAACCCTTAGTATACCTATCAATTCATATTTAGGCGTATGTAAGAGGTAGATAAGGGGAATTGCTTGAAGTAGTGATATATATTGAACAGCTGAGTCTTGAACGTTCTATTCATATTTATTAATACATAAACTGGGAGTCGTTAGGTTCATTCAATCAAAACTGATTGATTTCTAATCCAACGCGATTCGTATAACACACCCAAACACTAAATAAGTAGTTGGCTAATACCAAAACGCCTAATTTTCTAGTCACTCTCGACTACCAAAAAATCAGTTACAGATGTGTTGATGTCTTAATGAGCATGATGATTCCCGAGAAAATAGTTGCATATCCTATACTGCAAAAGCATTTTCTGGCGAGGCAAAGAACTTCTTCGACTCGGAACATCGTTCACTCTTGCAACCAGGGCACCTCAGGCCCATCTGGTGCGAGCACGCAACGCCACTGTCCAAGTGACTCTTCGCAAGGTTTGCGAGAGCATCAATAAATATGGGGTTACCGTTAAGACTTTCTACTCGTTTAACTGTGTCTGCATGGCCGGACTCTCCTATTACCTCTTTGTCGAGCTCAAAGAGCGTTTCGATATGATCAGAAGTAAACGCAATGGGGATAAGAACAAGGTCTTTTTGTCCCTTGGCGATATATTCCTCAACCGAGCTCTGGGTTTGAGGACCCAACCACGGTTGAGGACCGACTTGTGACTGCCAACATAATCTGTAAGGGTTAGAGAACTTTAGTCGTTGCATGACGGCGTATACTGTTGCGGCAACTTCGGCGGGGTACGGGTCGCCTGAAAATTTGTTAGTTGAGATGGCTTGAGACTAATATGTGTAATCCCTACCTCGATTGACTACCGTCATTGGTAAGCTGTGAGCTGAGAATAATAGGACGACTTGACTCCGTCGGTCTTCTGGATACTCTGCCAGCGTTTTCTCAATATTGCTAGCAAATGCCTCTACTAATCCCGGATGTACCGGCCACCTGTCAATGACACTCCATTGAATCGTACCCGGTCCGGATTTCCCTTCTAATCGTTGCCGCCATTTCCATAGTTCATTGAGACTGCTTCCCGTTGTAGAGCAAGAGTATTGAGGATATTGTGTGAACGCCACAGCCCTTCCTCCCTTGCCGTTTCCGAAGCCATCCGCCAGCAATTTATTATACATTTCTTCGGTTAGAGGGTCTGCATAGCGAAATGCGACATAGGGTTTATGAGGCGCTGTTTCAGGCGATATTCGGTCGAGAATCTTGCACATATGTTCACTTTGATATTCTGACCATTTTCGAATTGGGGAACCGCCACCAATCTCTGCATATTGCTTCTGAATCTTTGGAGTTCTTCGGCTTGAGATGAGGGGGCCTATATAGTTTTGAAGTCGTCCCAATGGTATTAGGTCGGCGTCTGCCTACTTATATGTTAGACATACACTGAGACGTATGGTACCGTACGAAATTAAACGTACAAATAAGCGGCTCAGAAAGTCGCCAACTTCGTCTACCGTGGATGGACCGCCCATATTTAGGAAAACCATGGCTGTTGGGCCTTTCGATCCTGTCGCATTTTGTGTGACAGGGGGCGCTGGCGTCGCGAATGATCTCATCTGTAGGGCACTGTTCTTCAATGGCTGGATGCATAATGGTGTAGAATTAGCAGTAGCAGTACCAGCTGCTCTGCGCGCGAGCTGCGCAATATAATGGCGTGCTGCCATATTGCACGAACTCATTACTTTATGACAGTTTGACGGCAAAAGGGTATAGAACATTTCTTGAAATTATTTAAAAGCACGGGTAGCTCTAATAGGACAGGTAAGTAAATCTGAATTAGTCTCGAAAAAGTTCACCAATCAATGACGAAATGCTCGGGGCCGGCTTTCCGAGGGACCAGGCCCGAGTGTCCGATTAATGTTAGTGGTACCTTAGAGGGCCAATGAAACATGTTGAATTGCCTAGCAGGAGCTAGACAGCCAAGTACCTTGGCTAGATACCTACATGTAAGTATCGTACTTCGTACATATATGGGTTTACTTGAAAATCACCTGATAACGCGATTATTTCATAAGAAACCTCTTTAAATCATACGCGTTTAAGCGCGATGTCTGCCTAAATTTAGGTACCTTAGGTTTCATGATCTACTGCTATTAACACATGTCCATATAAAAACAAATAAAATACATTCTCAATTTACCTGAATCATATGTGACCTTTTTTCTTCTCATACCCAACTTAACAGGGGAAGAATTCACCATCCGCCATGGCAGATCACTATGAGAGACGAGAGGAAGAGGAAGAAGAAGAAGAAGAGATTGGCGAACAGGTATTTCGTTCGTCTAAATATATATATTCTAGTCCCTCCTATTAATCATCAATTAGGACTTCAAAGCTCAGAAAGATGCCCTCATTTTCGCCATCGATGTGAGCAATTCAATGTTACGACCACCTCCTGAGTCAAATGACAAGAAGGCAGACAAAGATCCTCCCGTGTTTGCTGCTCTGAAGTGCGCATATCAGGTGATACAACAGCGAATTATATCTAACCCGAAAGATATGATGGGCATTATTCTCTTCGGCACCGAAAAGAAGAAGTACCGAGATGAGGAGAACCCTCCTTATCCGCACTGCTATGTCTATACCGACCTCGATGTTCCCGCGGCTGAAGATGTGAAGAATCTCAAAGACCTTCTTGAGGGAGGGGAAGATGCTGATGAGATTCTCACACCATCTAGTGAAGGAGTTGTAATAGGAAGATTGCTTTTCTTGGCGAATAATCTCTTCACCACCAAGGCACCGAACTTCGGATCCCGAAGACTGTTCATTATCACAGACAATGATGATCCTCATAAGGAAAGCAAAGAGCTTAGGGAAAACGCAGCATGCCTCGCAAAAGATCTGTACGACTTAGGTGTCACTATAGAACTCTTCGCAATCACTCGCGAGGACGAAAAGTTTGATTTCACCAAGTTCTACGACGTAATTCGCCCATTTAGATCTGACTGTTATTCTCGTTCACTAACCTTTCCTAGGACATTGTTTATCGGGACCCGGTTGTCGAAGAAACACATCTTGGGAGGGTTTCTACATCGAAGTCTGGCAGCGGGCAGACACTTCTGAGTTCGTTAACCTCAAATATAAACTCTAGACAGACTCCAAAGCGAGCATATTTTAGCAATATGCCGCTTGAGCTGGGCCCTGGACTTCAGATCTCAGTTAAAGGGTATAACATAATTCACAAGCAGACCCCCGCACGCAGCTGTTATATTTGGCTAGATGGTGAGAAAGCACAGATTGCCGTTGGCGAGAGTGCCCATATCGCTGAAGATAGCGCTAGAACGGTACATACGGGCGAAGTCAAAAAAGCATATAAATTTGGCAATGAATATGTCTATTTTGGCGAAGAAGAGCAGAAATCCATCAAACAATTCGGTGGTCCGATAATCCGAATCATTGGCTTCAAAGACAGATCACAGCTAGGATTCTGGGCATCTATCAAAACATCCATCTTCATCTTCCCAAGCGAACAAGGTTACGTTGGGTCCTCGCGTGTCTTCACTGCATTATGGCAGAAACTATTAAAGTCTAAGAAGATCGGCATCGCGTGGCATATTGCTCGAACAAACGGAAACCCTCAGCTAGTAGCTGTTATTCCCTCTACTGCGCAATCAGACCGCAAGTCGGGCATATATTTCGTACCGGCTGGCTTATGGCTTTATCCGATTCCGTACGCTGACGACCTGCGCGAGAGCCCTGGCCAGGGTAATCTCGTCAGAACCACGAACCAGTTGACTGATACGATGAACAAGATTATTGGAAACTTGCAGCTGCCAACTGCCACCTATAATCCATCAAAATATCCTAATCCCGCACTTCAATGGCATTATAAAATCCTTCAAGCCCTTGCACTAGAGGAAGAGGTACCTGACAAACCAGACGACGCGACCGTCCCCAAGTACAAGGCGATCCATAACCGATGTGGTGCATATATCCAAGAGTGGTCACGGACAGCGGATAACGTTTTGGGCATGGTTAGAGATGCCAATGCTATCAAGCGGGAGATGGACATTGACGAGGGGAACGATGAGCCTAGGCCAGCAGCGAAGAAATCGAGGGCAACTGCAACGAAAGTGGGCGCTAGTAGTACAGGTATGAACAACGCACAACTGAAGGAAAGATATGAACAAGGAACCTTGTCAAAGCTGACAGTAGCTGAATTGAAACCGATCTTGAACGATCGAGGGATTGATTCGAAGGGGTTGAAGAAGACTCTCATCGAGAGGCTTGAGGAATGGATTGAGGATAATGTATAAATCGAGGGATTTGAATTATGTAGCTATCGGCGTCCAAGGCGGCTAGGTGTAGGCCTGGCTTCGGCGCTGAGAACGATATCACTTCCAGATGAGTAGTAAGAGACGCAGTTATCCCTTTTACACACCCGAGAGCATCCCAGCTGTAATTCTCCTTACATCTACTGAGGAGCAGCGGTTAGGAGGTATCTAGGTACCTTACGTATATGACCAACCGATGCGATCTTTGGTTAACTGGGTAATTATATTTCCTATTGTTTATACTCACTTGTCTTAATTTTGCATTTAACCACACGCAAGTCTCTATCACGAGAAATAGGAGGTATCCAAGTACCTAGGTAGGTATAGATGCAACTGCCAATGAATCAATATAAAAGGTCTATGATAGAAAGTTAGGTAGGTGTTGGCCTTTTGCCACATCACATATCATTAGTACGCCAGTACGTAAGGTGCTATTAACCTGTATAAGTTCAAATGTTAATTTAATACTTAAACATGAGGGCACCCCTGCGATGCGCCATAATAGCCCGAGTTTACGAAGGTAATATGGTGCTGCCGGGGAATGGCGCGCTGCGCGCGCCATTCCCCGGCAGCGGCACCTGGAAACCTCGAATATCGACCTTTATAAAAATAAAAATAAAAAAAGGAAAAGGGGGAAAACGTGTGGGGTTTGAACCTAAGCTTCTATAAAGATAGGTATGTATTTCGAGAAAAAGATAAAAGTGGGGACTTAGAAAAGCACGTGGCTAATTCTACTTATTTTGGGGATGCACCGAATCAAAACGCTTAAAAAACGCCGCACGGACGAACTTCCTCTTTCGAAAAAAGGTCCCCAAGACAATATCCCTCGTAAACTCGGGCATACCAACCCCGCGTTCTCAGGTATCTAAGTATCTAAGGTAGGTAAGGTTCTACAAGTCGCTAGGATCTTCAATGCTATTTGGTGGAGATGTTATTTGAAATAGTTAATAAATATTATATTGCTTTATTTATATAGCAAAATACAAACCTATTTAAATATTCTAGCTTAGTCTTTGCTTAAATAGGTAATTTTAAGTGGCAAAAGTCACCTAAACATCACGAAATATATTTATAATTATATTTTGCCATAATATTTCGAGTGTTTTGATACTTCTCTCCTTTAAGTAACATCTCTACTAAATAGTCTTGGACATCCTAGCGACTTGTAGAACCTTACCTACCTAGGTACTTCAGCTACGCCTTACCTAACCTTAGGTAACCAAGTTGCCCCAGAGCTGCGACTTCCAACGCGTTTAGTCAAGCTCTCCACCTGCATCTATTTTTGTTCATTTCGCTCCATCTACATAGCGCCTAATTCAGCCAGCGGTTTCTGGGAATAGCAGAACGGCCCTGGAGTCATCGGCGGAATGGATGCCCTCTTGGAATCAACCAGGGGTAATCTGGTATGTAACTCTGTTCAAGATGTACAAGACAGACTGCACCGCCTCCTCGCTTCTAGATCGTCCGATACGCGCGCAGACCATGCCTCTTTTACATTCGAGCTTCGACATAATGTAGTCTTTCACTTAAATCCAGATACCGAAAATAGTCCCGCCGACGATATCGTCAACCCTACCGAACAATCGCACCATCAACCCATTACCCGATCCGTGAATGCCATCGAAACAGTACAAAACCAACCTAGCGATGACCCTATCCTCCAGCGCGCCGTCGCAAAGCATATCGTCGGTGCGATGGGAACTGTAGATAACAGTTCATGGATAGTACGAAAAGTTTCTCGGGATTCACAAGGCTGGGCATTCATGTACATCTGCAAAGACTCGCTGCAGGCATGGAATCGCGCGAATGCGAAAAACACCGAGAAGCATGCAATTGGTAGTTATAGCGGGCCAGGTGGCTTGGATCCAATTAATGCCAGTAAGTATGGATGTTAAAATCTTGCGTGCTTAAGCCGCTGACATCATCATAGCTCGTCCTGCCTTTGATTGTCGCGGAACCCTCACGATTGCCTTTTCGAAATCCGCTAGAGGCGTCATCGTTAAATATGATCACACGCCCATACACAAGACTGTCGCGCAGTTGGTAGACCTTATAGCACCTACTCTACCGCCCCCTCCCGTCAACAATGGCGGCACGGGAAGCCAGAGGACGCCAAGGGCCAAGCGACCCCCACCAGTGGAAGGCGAAGAAGGGAGCCGCAAGAAACGTTCAAGGAAGAAGGAAAAGGCTCCAGAAGCACCGATGGGAGGTCCCCCTCCTGGGGATGGCCAAAATAGCCAGAACATGGCCGAATCGCAGGGTGTAAACCACGGCGGTGTATACGTTACATCGGTTCCGATTGTTCCCCCTGATGAAGTCAAACGCCGTAGACAAACGGCGATAGATCTCCTTAACGGAAGGGACATCGATCCTGCGACACTCTCTGAGGAACAATTCAACATATTTGCAAATCAGGCACCAAGTCTACAGACAACTTCGTTAGATATGTTAGCTAAGTATGGCGCCGAGAGGTTGAGAATTGTCCATCCAGATGATAAGGATGCCAATTCAACTCCCGTAGAAGAACAATCTACCAATACAACCCCTGCTACTGTACCAGGCCAGGCGTCTGCTCCTGAAATAACCGAGACGCCCACGAAGAAGAGGCGTTCCCGAAAGAAAAGGTCTGACGGGACAGTAACTGAAGTTTCTATCGGTGATGGTGCGGTAGTGTCAGTACAACAGAGCGGCGAAATTGGAACGACAACTTCCACTCTAAAACTGACGACCAAGAAAACACGCGGAAGTTGTGAGACTTGCAGAGACAGGAAGCTCAAGGTAACTTGCACTTTATTACTAAATAGAAATCTAATACTAACACATTCTAGTGCACTAAAGAACATCCTAGTTGTTCTGTCTGTACTGCAGCTGAGGTAGAATGCATTTATTTGCCACCGAAACCACGACGGAAAAGAGTGGTAATCTCTGGTGAAGTGGTTGAAAACGAAGATTCCGACCTACCTGGAGAAAGGGAAGAATTCCAGGCCCAAATCCAATCTCAGGAGGCACCATCGCCAATGCCAACAATGCAAATCCTAGTAGAGTACCAAGCACCTGCTATTGCGCCGCCAATCCCAGATCCCGATAATGAAGAATTCATCCCAGATCCAAACATCTTGTCGGGACCTGTTGAGCATCCTCCCGCTACCACGCAACCTTCTATACAACATTCAACAACGCAATACTACCAGAGCCATAGCAATGGCCTCACATTTCCCCAAAATCCGCAGTCCTCGACTGGACTGACATCAATGTCGACTTTAACATTCCCAGAATCTCAAGCCCGTGAAACCCAATCCGAGTCTCCTAATTTAGTCTTTCCGTCGACATCCCATCAGACTGAGCACCCATCCGGTTCAACCTTTCCGCGACCGGTCCCAGAAACGAGTCAGAAGGCGCAAAACACGCCCATGTCTGACCGACGTAGTCTTCCCGCCACCCAAAATAAGCAAACACCGATACCCACACCAGTACCACCGCCAACCATACCGCAGCATGTCCCCAATTGGAATTCTCCTTCCACAACAGGGCATGCTACTACAGCGTCGCCGACATTAACCCAGCAGCAAACATCTAGGCGGTCAAGGTCACGTAAGTCTGACGTGGAAGTTAGACAGCAGGCAAATGACAGTATGAGACAACCGCCGGCCGTATCGCAGGTCGCAGCAAAAAATCAGAGGCAGCCGTCGCCTGCAACGGGGTCACCGTACCAGACTGCAACTCGCGCAAAGTCGCGACAGGACCATAGGTCACAGACCAATACACCCGTTGTATCCACATCTCGCCCTCCTCCGCAGGCCCCGCAAGCTGCTGTCAGTGCGTCCTACAGTACAACTGCATCAGCCTCGATTCCAAGCTATGACCCCTATCCACGTTATGACAACACAATTAATGGTCAATATAATAATGCAAACAACGACCAGGATTCGACTCGCATTGCGTACGAACCTGGCTCGTACCAGGCTCATACAGCTGCTATAACGTCGGCGTCCTATTCCTCAGCGCCAGCATATGATTATTCCCGGACTACAAGTTCATCGAACCCTCTCTCCCAAGCCCTCAACTCATCGTCCGGATACAATAATACCAGCAGTAGTACTGCAACTTCTCAATGGCCCACCTCACAAGCTCGAGGTAGCCAGGCACACGCCCAACCACAAGCAACCAATGCTTACCCTATGGCATCAACTACTGCATCTACCTCTAATAACTATGGCACAAATTCTGCGGAGTCACGGACCTCCCATCAGAATACCCCTTACACCCAATCCCAGCCTCAATCATACAATTCCTACTCAGCACAGCAGCCGAGCACGAGTCAGCCACACCAGCAACCCCAGCAAACCTGGTACCGCTTTAACGCCAACAATAATAGTAGCGCCGGCGCAAACCAAAACGCCTACAGTAATCGAAACAGCGGCTACGGCGGTACTGCAAGCTCAAATCTGACCGCGTATAGCAACCACAGATCTAACATGTCCAACTACCCTGGGCACAATTACGGGTCTGGGTCGGACGACCAGAGCATATATGAGTTGCTAAGGGCCAACGGCTCTACACATTAGGACATGCCTATATTACCCTTGATGGCGATTTTGTCCATTTGAGCATATGTTATATTAGGGAACGACGGTGATTTCGGCCGAAGGATTTATATACTTGTACAGATGGATGAAGGAATACGTTTACAGCCCCGAATAGGGCGCGAACGCACCTCGGGAAACCGAAACTAGAACTGCTGCTTCCTTCAGCAAACACCTTTCATAATATTTGTATCTGTATTTGTATCAGGACCCTGGCTTGCTCCCCCGTAAAGGGATCAACTACGAACACCTACGATACTGAGCACGAGCCTAAAAGGCGGGGCGAACGGAAACGGTTTGAATATAGTATGCCTTCGGGTTAGATCTGTGGGATATCAGGAATATACCGTGTATATAGACTTAGATAGCCCCACACGCCGCATGCCCCTAGGGAGGCCTCGCACTACGTGCCCCCGGCGTTAAATATACAACAACAACAACAAGGAATACGTTTATACCCAAGACAGGAAAAGGATGCTGTGATATATGTATTAGCTACGGCATTAGTCCGAGATGCGAGCGTTGTTATTCTAACAGGCCACATGGCGCGTTGTGATGCGCTATAGCTTTTCATGTGGATAACTGCTTTAGTTACATTGACGATACCACTATGTGATGTGTTTTAGACTTTTTTATCGTCCATCTTAGTACCCGTGCTCATTGCAGTGCGGAACGAGCTCCTAAGGAGCGAGATATCTTCCTCGTATCGAAATTTATATACCCGTTGCGCATAACACATATTTTAATCAAAGTGCCGTCCCTTCGATTATTGCGATTCTGTCTATAAACCCTAGGAGAAAATAGGAATACATATATGCCATAACATACCAAATTAGAGTAATCAGTAGGTCCAGGTATGTAGGTAGGTACCTAGGTATGTATAAACACAGGCTTTGTCTATGTATCAAGCTATCTACAGCATATCGTGTCTAAAGTAAGCCGAGTTGAAATTGCTCCAAGTATCGCTCGCTCGCTCTATCTTCGCTGATGCACAAGCCGTCCGCGCACCCAAACTTTCTTCACGTTCCTGTCGTCGCCATTGAATACCCACTTTGCGACGCGGTCTTCCCATCGCTCCCAGCCGAAGATATCCACGTTTCCGGTATCGTGTTCTTGGTCTTGGTCTTCGTCTTGTTTTGATTCCGTGCCGTCGTCTTCGTCGGGAACGAGTCCGAGCCCGATTAGCTGTGCGTCCCATTCCTTGCCTACTTCGAATCCGCCAATTTTCTCTCCTAAACAAACGACTTCGGCGCCGCCTCGGGTGGCCAAGTGTAGTACTTCCTCGACGCTTAGCCGGACGCGCTCACGGTCGTCTTCTGCTTCGGCGTCTATCTGCTTCTCCCCGGTTCGCGATGGCATAGCGAGATGATTCGACACGAGAGCGGCCTGGCGCGCGGCATCGAGTACGCTGGGACTATATCCGCCGCTAACATCGGTGCCGAGGCCCACGCCGACCCCCTTATCCAGCAGCCAGCGCACACGGGCCACGCCGCTCGTCAGCGCCGAGTTGCTACAGGGGCAATGGGAGACCTTGGACCCGCGACTCGCGACGAGGTCGACCTCCTCGTCGCTTAAGTGGATCGCATGCGCGAGGATCGTGCGCTTGCCTAGCAATCCGAAGCGGTCGTACACGTCGGCGTAGTTCTTGCTGTCGGGGAACATGTCCCGCACGAGCTTGAGCTCGTCAACGTTCTCCGCGATATGCGTCTGGATCGGGAGGTTAGTTTCCTTGTGCAGAGCGCCGAGCTGGGCCATGGCGTCTACGCTGCACGCGGGTGCGAAGCGGGGGGTTAGAATGGGGCTTATGAGATCGAAGTCCGCGTCGATGCTCCGGATGTGGTCGATAGTAGCGCGTGTTGCGGCTAAGGATTGTGACGCGGATTCATCGAGGTAATAGTCCGGGCCAAGGTTATCCATACACACCCGGCCGACGAAGGCACGCTGGCCCAGGGATAGACATAGGTCTGCAAGCAGGTTTGTGGACGGCACGTGGATTGTGGCGTAGTAAGCTGCGGTGGTGGTGCCGTAGGCCAGGGTTCGCTGGATACAGCGTGTGTATACCCTGCGAGCTTTGGGGAGTGAGGAGAGGGATGCTTCCATGGGGAAAGTATATGTGTTTAACCAGTCCAGGAGCGTAGACTTGCCGAATATGCCCACGTTAGGATACTGTGGTGCGTGAATATGCGTATCTGCCGCTGGTGAGCAAAGGGATAACTTCAAGTGAAAGGGGGTGAAGAGTATTCTTACCAATAAACCCAGGAAAGAAGAATTGGCCCTCTTTTGCTATCGTGACGGTGACATCGTCTGTTTTCCAGCCTAGCTTAGGATATAAAGTCTCCTCGGCTTTCTTCTGATCGTATTGCTGCTCGACAGCAACGATCTTGCCGGACTTGTCCACGCAGACTGCGGTGTCATGAAGATATTGGAGCTCGCCGAGTTTGACACTGTGTATGAACAAGCCCAGATATAGCTGGTTCTTCTCGTTCCCTAGAGGAGCCATGGTGAATTGGTCTCTTGCTTGACTCTTTCGACGGTCTCTCTTTTTCTTGACATAACCCAAACGCGGGTGTCTGGTCTTATTTTCAAACCCCAAAATAAACCCTTGCTGATTCTTCAAATTCCCTGTTGCAATCAGGAGCAGCGCGGCGAGATATCATAAGCCCAGTAAGACTATGTCTGCTCAATATAATTCCATTTAACCCGTCTTCAACTATATCAGTTCCAACCTATGGTTAACCCAAACGCGTAACCTAGCAAATTATGCACCCAGGATCTCAACATGGGTAATCAAATTTCGTGACACGATGCAAGTGACGTAACCGAAGTCGACAGGGAGGTGTATCGTCGACGGAGAATTTAAAAGGGGGAGGGATAGAAATAGAAAAAATGGTTGTACTTTGGTGATAACAAAGAAGTTTAGGTACACTATCTTACCTAAGGTATTGTACCTAGGTAGGTATGTACTTAGGTATATAGGTACATTAGGTACTTAAGTACAGGTTACTAAAAGGCAGGTTAACCTAGATGATTAACTACATGAAGGTAGGTACACTACATAGATAAGGCAGTCTTCTAGATTAGGCGAGATCCCACTGGTGGTTCCTGTATCAAACCAAGGACCGGAACTTACCAGAGTTTTTGCTAAGGTACCGACTTAAGGGATAACATGTGCACAGCGTTATGGTCACGTCCGATGGAAGTCGGTCAACGCCGGCACCCGGGGCCACATTCCTATTGGACCTATTGGACCTATTAGTGCTTGTCCTTGGAGCTACGAATTTCTCCAGCAGCCCCAGTCCCCCATAACCCCGCCGAGAATTAAGCTATCGATCGCTATCTTTACCTCCTAGGTCATGTCTTAGCTCTCATGTCTTAGTTCAGCTGCGACAATATATTTTAACTATACATATTGTTTCCAAGTCTACCATTAGGTAAGGGAATATTATCTTTTATCTTTAGGTACTTGATGTTAGTCAACTACCTAACTAGTTAGTTACATTAGTTATAGTTAACTTGTGTATTAAAGGTGATAATTAACTCCAAACAATTATTCCAAGTTCCGTTTTCCACTAATGATTTACTTTCCTATTCCTCTTCCGCTTCACTTTCTCTTTAAGGAGATAGCTGAGAGTAAATGTCAACAACTTCGTACTTAGCTCGCCTTTATTATGTCTTGCATGGCGTTGCACCGGTGGTGGTACTTCAAGGGTTATGGGTATGACTAGTAGAACAACAGGCGATGACGTCTAATAGCTTAATTCAAACGACATCCTCAAGTTGCAACATTATACAATACATGTTCGCTTAGAATTCACCGTTACCCGGGTACAAATAACACAATCATCGGCCCATCGGACTGTCTTACTCGAGAGAGTAAATAGTTATAGTCTATCTACTACGCTCTCTACTACGCTCACTACTATCACAAGACAAGACTCAAATAGCATCGTACAGACAAGCTCCAGCATTCGTAAGGCCAGCCGTCGCATAGCAAAGCGGTGTGACAGGAAATAATACCGTAACCCGCATCCTGATTGGCCAGCGCAGGTACCGGAGACACGACGTAGACAAAAACTACCGAGGATCCGGCTAACTACGCCTATTTACGCCTATTAAATCCGACATATTATTTATTATTAGCAACAAAAGTAAAAATAAGGATAAATACATAGAGAGAGAGAGGGGGGGCAAGGATAGAAACTCCCCGGACCGGCAACACCAAACGTCGTGAAACAGAATTCCCCCTCTAAAAGAGAAGAAGAGAAAGGAAAAAAAAGAAAAAAAAAAAGCCCGAAGCCGATCCTCGCTCTCGTCATCCGAAAGCTCCATTCATTACGTTGTCGTCAACGCGTTCGTTTCCTCAATCTTGTCTTACATACGCAACCTCCCGATATCTAACTCTTACCCACCCGGTCTTGGCTAAGAGAGAGGGGCGACCTGATCGACACACCAAACTGCTGTGATAACTATAACAGCAGACTGCAAACAGCCAGCATTGTAACCCCCTGGTTAACCCTGATCCTGTGTAACAATCTCCCGTTTCCCATCTTAGCAGATCTATAACATCTTATATATATATATATATATCCCCCATCACTCCATCTCCCACCATGCCCCTCCACATAGCCAACCTCGGCTCCTCCTTCGCTGCCGGCCCCAGCATCCCGCCGTGCGTAGACGACGCGGCGGGGCGCTCCGGCGCAAACTTCGCGTGTCTGGTAGCCAAGCGCGCCGGCGCCCAGCTCACGGACTTGACGGTCTCCGGCGCCGTCCTGCCTAACATAACCACGGAGCCGCAAGATCGCGGCGGCCGCCTGTTCCCGCCGCAGATCCAAGGGTTGCCTGCCGACGCCGACGTCGTGTTCGTGCTCGGCGGCGGCAACGACATCGGGTACATCGGGGGGCTGTTCGAGGACACCCTAAGCGCATCCTGGCTAGGCGCCTTTGTCATGCGCGTGCGCGGCACGGGCGGTGCACCCCTCGCCACCACCGTCCTCGACGTCGCAGGGCTGGCGGCTAGGTACGGCGGGGTCCTGGATGCGATCCACGAGAAGGCGCCCCGGGCCAAGGTCCTAGTCGTCGAGTACCTAACGATGCTCGGAACGCACACGCAGGCGGGCACGGACGTGCCCTTCGGCGAGGACAGAGTCGCGCACCACCGCGCCGTGTGCGAGCGGCTCCTAGAAGCGACGGCTAGAGCCGTCCAAGGCCGCGAGGCCTGGGCCGAGCTAGTTTCCGTGGGCGCGGCGAGCGAGGACCATGCGATCGGGGCCCCGGAGCCCTGGGTCTCGGGGTTCACGTGGAAGCTGTTCTACGCGGGGGGCGCGTACCATCCGCGGGCCGAGGGCATGAAGGCTGTTGCCGATATACTGTATAAGAAGCTAGTCGACCTGGGAATAGTGGAAGACGGCGAGCTATGAAGCTGTGGCGGGAAAGGTGGGAATAAAATTGACCGGATTGGGTTGGATATGATTTTAAGGACTTGGACGCGACGGGACGAACCGATTCTGCTGCGTGGGCAAACGCTGGCTTCTAGAAGACTGCACTACCGTAGAAGACTGCTATGCTATCTTGTGTAGGATAAAAGAGTCTTGTGGTTTTCACATAACCTAGATAGCGTTTACGGGATATGGACTTAAGGTGAAGCTAAGTCTTTCATCTAGCGTTTGTTCCTAGACGCAGAGTATTCATTCTACTACACTACCTGCTTATGGAACGCATGGGACCTCCAAATATAAAGGAATGGGTTTATGGTGGTCCTATATGGGCTCTATAGAAACGATTATAGCCTTAAATTATACTATGAAAGCATTTAAGGTAGCTTAGCATGGTAGTCTCAACAACAGCATCTTCAAGACGAAAGTACGGCAATGATGACTACCTATGTTAGGATCATATAAACTGGTAGCGTGGCAGAACTTATATTGTAAAACAACGCAATAAGCTCCCATCATACATAATTCACCTAGGTCAAAATTCAATCCCCTTTACCGTAACCTGATAGATTACATGTGTATATCATACGCACCATGTCAAATACAACCTAAGATGTGTTAAAATTATTAAATAATTCATTGTTTGGATAGCTAGATACACCCCAAACCTATCTATTGCGGACAGACCCCAACACCAAGTTTTTCCATCCGAACGTCGTAAATATAGTAGCACAGGTGCTGATGAATACAAGCCCAAAACACCGCCAATGTGATATTGTTTTTCAATACCACAGCGCCTCCTCGTATGACCCATATTTTAGTAACCGTTCACCTGCGAAGGAGGTGAGTTAACACCGTTGGCACCATTGACGTCTCCCTGATAACTATCCCAATCCTGCAGGATCTGCGCGATCTTGGGTGACCCTGTGAGGTCGTATACGTTTTGGAAATATTCTTTCGTAAGCTCGAATGGCCGGGCTGTTACATTAGGAATATACTTTCCGACTAACTTGGCGGGATCGATCGAAGTCTTGTTGATCTTCTTCTGGAGAATATTTCGGAAAGGCTTGACGCCTGATCGTAAGAATGTGGAATGGAATGGCACGTCTATGCCCTTAAGAGGGATAGTAGCAAACCCTCTTTCGAGTTCTAGGGGTGTGGGCTTCTCCAAAGTCTTTTGAGCACAACCCTTGATTATGTCAACGAGGTGCGCCTTCACTTCCTCAATGCTCAAGTCTTGGCGAAGCTGGTTAATATCCACCTTCTGTGACTTCAAGAAGTTCAGGACGCCAGTGAGGGTGTCCAGAGCGCGTAGGTCACCAGCACAGACGTACTGCATATTGGCGATGTTGTAGTTGACAATCTCCAACAGCCAGCCTGTCTCCTCGGCGATGTTACTAACCACGTATCGGAGGGCGCCCTCGCTAAAAGTTTTGGAGATTCGGCTAGGGTTGACAGCACACATCGAATAATTCGATCGGCCTTGGGCATCTCGCTCCACGGCGACTTGCATTGTCAGACCACGATAGAATACAACTGAGACTAGTGATTCAATGGGCAGAACGTCGGCTAACGCGGCAAGGGCAGAGTATTCGCCCAAGGAATGGCCAGCAAAGGTGCTGTCTCGTGGTACGAGACCCTTGGCATTCATGTCTTCAAAACTAGCCTTTTCCATGAGGGTAAGGGCGGGCTGTGTGAACTGGGTTGCTGATAGAAGACCTGTGGGTGACCGGTACGTGTACGATGTCGTCTTCACATTGATCTCTTTGAATATGCGTTCGGATTTCACGGAACCATCTGCAGCAATGGTCTCGAAGTTCATCTGCATGTAATTCTCGCGGATTGCTTTACCCCGAGGACCACCAAAGTGAATAGTCAATTCCTTCGGGTTATTCTTCACGATGTTCAAAATAGAGAAGCCTAAAGCATGTTAATAGGTCGGCACCTATGATCAGATACGGGGTAAACTCACCATATGTATCTAGGAGATACTTATCGGCCCTATCCCAGACTTCCTTGGCAACGGGACTGGAATTGTACAAGTCCATACCCATGCCTTGCTCTTGAGATCCCTGACCAGTAAAAACATACGCTGTTACCGGTTGTTCCACTTCAGCCTCTCCAAGTAGCACCTTCTCCTCGGTCTCCTTATTACTCGCTTGAACTTTGATAATCTTGCGACCACCAATCATACCAACATGCTCAAGTTTGACTTGGATGTCATCGTTGGGCAGTACCATACCAACGAGCGAGGCGTGAAAACTGCGGACGCGGCCAATGTTATTCTCGGCTGCCCAAGTCTCTACTAGGCTTCTCACCGCAGCACTCGAGTACATGCCGTGGGTAATAGTGCCAGGAAGGTTGGCATAACTGGAGAAGACACGAGAAACGTGGATAGGGTTGTAATCACCAGATACCTTCGCGTATGTCTCATTTGAAGCCGGTGCCTTTAGCTGTAGAGGTGCCTTGCCGCTGAGGGGAATAGGGTTCTCAAAGTTTATCGGCTGCTCAATGGAAGAACCGTGTCTTGCGAGGTAGTCAACAACTGGGTTACCATGAGACGAACCGGCTTCGTAGTCAACGCTTGCTACTTGAATGATCTCCTTGGTAGGAAGCTCCAGTAGCACCTGACCACGGGTCTCGACGCTGCTGTAGACAGTCTTGTTCTTGAACTTGTAAAAACTCTGTAGGCGGAATGTTAATGTTTGGCCGAGCAGTTCAATATCATTGCTGTCAAACTGAATCCAGTCCTTGGACTTCAGAACTGCAACGTCCTTGGAAGTATCAAGATGGACTTGCATAGGCGTCTCCATTTTGCGCTGGAAGGTATTTTCATAGTCCGTATAAACGCCACGGTACAAGAATTGTGATGTGACCTCCATAACAGCTTTACCATCTCTATAAATCGTACCGCATACTTCGACCATCTTGCCGGACTCTTCGTTAATTACAGCGTTGATTTGAGCCGTCGTCTTAACCTCGTCACCCTTCTTCAAGGGATCTGCACCTGGCATCATACGGAAGCCGTTAGAGAGATGAACAAGCTTAAGAAGATCGCCATCGATCTTTCGGGGGAAGATGGGTTTTGTGATGGCCTTCCATCCGACGACGATAGCGAAATCCATAGGGGCAAACATAACCTTGCCAGGTCGATCAACGAACGCCTCGCCGGTGTTGCCAACAGCGTGAACGAAGTCGTTGATGTCCTTCTTAGTAATGGTAGTTCGCCCTCCGTCAAATTTGCTGGTGACTGGAGCGTCGAGGTCAAGAGTTTCATCTCCAAACCAAGCACGCCAGTAGAATTCTTTGATACGGTCATTTCGTCCTTCCATGACTTCGTGAATTGGTGCATATCCAGCTTCAGGGTGGTATGTAAACCGGAGTGGTAGCGACACGGGCTGGCCGAGAGCAGTGGTGTCCTTGATCATGCTAACGACAATCTCACTCTTGCCATCTAGCTTGACTTCAATCACATCGACGTAATGATTGTGTCGTGGTTGCTCGCGAACGATGATGGATGTTTTAGCTGGATCATTAGGATATAGAATCTCAACGAAAAGACCACGGATTGGCGCGAAGATTCTCTTCATCGGATTTGTCTGGTACTTGTTACCTTGCACTAATACCTCAGAAGTGAATAACGCATGGCGCCAATTGCGGTTTGGCCCTGCCAACAGCGCAAGCCAACTGTCAACGGAAGGTAGAACAACACCGGGAGACGATGATAAGCGGTATGTGTTCTTGTGTTGGTCATATGATACTATAAGGCCTTCGATATCCAATGGCACCTCGGTATCGATGAGCTTACCACCGAAGTATTCAATGACTGGAATGGCTTCGGGTTTGTTGGCGTATATGTCCCGGGTTAAGTTAGAGATATGAGTGTTGTGGATTCCATCTAGGATGTCCTTGATGGGCTCATCTAGCACGGTTGAGTACTTGACAGCAGTAGGGCCTTGAAGAATACAAGTACGCCCAACATCTTGATCGATGACCGCCGCAAGATCTTCTGATTGCCAGAGCGAGTCTTTCTTGAAGAAGAACTCGAAATTCTCGTCAAGAGATGGAACAAAAGTCACGGGCTTTTGGCCCCGACGTTGGCATAGAAGTAAGAAGTGCTGAACGTCCTGAGCATTTATAATCTGAGTCTCAGCCTCAGGATAATGCGAAAGAATCCTCTCAATAGCAGAAAATGGCTCCTTAAGTTCCGAGTAGTTTTGCAGGTAGGAAGGCTGCCCAGTACCGTGAGTAAACCTTTCTTCAACGCGATGAATGAAATCACACGTGAGCCTGGTGAATGATGGGTCAATCCATCGTGACTCGTGCTTGACGTAGAGAAGATCTACCATCCGGCGCACAACTTCGCCGTAGGTCATATCCTCGAGGTCTACGGTCTGGCCAGCCTTGTTTCGGCCAAACCACACCTTCTGGAAGTCATCGTTCAACTTCTTGATTATGTACTCTCTGTTCTTTTTCAGTTCAGCAACGCGCTTTTCTTTTGGTAAGCTAAAGATCTTGCTGTCCATTTCTGCCCAGAACCTGACACCCCTGGTTGCGAGTTTGTGAATGGGCTCACCCATCTCCGATCGTACAGTGATAACACCACCAGCCGGACCCTTGTAAGTCTTCTCCCACTCCTCGTCGTCAAGCCCCTCGGCGTCTATGATGGCTTGCTTAGCATCCCTACTCGTGTGCGCTTCCTTAGCGACCATCATACGACTGCCAAAGAGACAACCGTCGAAAGGCATCGGTGGGTAGCCGAATTTCTTGGACCATTCACCGGTAAGGTATGGATATGTGTCCTCGGCTCCACCAAATCCGCTGCCAGCGACAAGAATGATGTTGTCCGACCGTCGAATACGCGGGTACATTTGTAAGATGGGCTGGTGGAAATCCTCGAACGAGTGATGACCTCCTCCTCGACCGCCAGTCCATTGTAGGATGACAGGGAAGGTCGGGTTTGCCTTTGCAATATTGATAACGGCCTGGATGGCTTCCATAGAGCCTGGCTTGAAGGCGATGTGTTTGAGCCCAAGAGTTTCTATATACTCTTGGGCAACTTCGATCGAAGGAACACCCGCACCGATAGTCAAGCCTTCAATAGGAACACCCTCGGAACGGAGCCGGCCGATCAATGGGATTTGCCAGCCCATAGCACGGGGGTTGACATAGATTAAGTTGATCGTAACTCCTCGTCCGGCTGGAATGGCCTTTTCGATCTTGGACAGCGCCTCGGTCATGGTCCTACCGTTATAGTAACCACCACCGGCTAATTCGATATGATAGCCAGCATTCATGGTTGCTGCAACAAAATCCCACGGGACAGTGGCTGGCGTCATACCGGCCACCATAATCGGAGGCACGCCCAATAACCTGCTCATCTTAGTGTCCACGTACGTATGGCCACTTGATGTCTTGACTAGCCGAGGGCCGTATTCTTTGACCCAGTCATTCGCGTATACCACAGCGTGTTCTTCGTCACGGTCGAAGAGTTCAGACTTGTAGCCAACTTCTTGAGCGGCACCGTCAATGGTACCGGCCAGAATTACACGTACGCCCGTGC